GATTTAGCAAATTAAGTTATAATAGATGTTTATGACTACTCAGTTACATATGTTTGCTCACATATTTACTGACATCACTCTGTTTAGTTGCACTTTAGATAAGGGTTGCCCGGTTGCCTTGGCTTTTATCTGGGTGTCCACTCAGTGAGTGGCCCCTCACACCTCAGTTGGCGTACTGCACGGTCCCTTGCACGGCCCCTTCGACTACACGTTTCGAGGCCGCTGCCTCTTTGTCAAGCCTGGGATTGTGGTGGAAGTCTGGGATCGTGGTGGAAGACCACGATCCCAGGCTTGACAAAGAGGCAGTGGCCTCGAAACGCATAGCCGACTGCAGTGTGACACCCCTTACTTCCCAGTGAGACAGACTGTTTCTGCTGATCAGCCCCGCGCTCACTGCCACGTCCACCCACCGCTCAGTGTATTCTGACGGTGACAGTACCGCCGAAGCGAGGCTTCTCTCGCACAGCCGACAGGACTCAGCCTGGCCAGCTGTTTCCTTACGGCTCTTAACAGCATCTTTACCACTACTGTTCAGCCCATTCACAAACATGGCATTATGATGCCAACCTCAGCCAGCTACAAATTCCTATGTGCTTTAGTCACAAAGGTCGATCGTGACCAGACACTGTCATTAGCAGTTCATCAGACGCTGAGCCCACATAGCCCTCAGCACTTGATGGGAGGGCCAGTCAAGGTCTGTTCACATACCCATCTACTCACTCCACCCTCATCACACCTGGCATCCTAGCATCTGGGCTAACACCACACTTCTGCACAGAGTTCCTGGGACACAGTGACATCCTAAACGTGAGTGATGTTTATACAGTAGTAGCGCTCTCAACCAATTTGCTCAATGTAATGATTTCATATGTTTTTCCTTTTATCAAGTGCTAATTATCTTGTAAATGAAAAGGTCCTCCTCCTGAAGAATCCTTGCAAAGTTCATAGAGAAATCTAGGGACCCACCCCCCACCACCATTCTTGAGCTCTTGATTCCGTTTTGGATTCACATAGCAGCAAATGGAACCAGTTTAATGTCTTGCAATTGGACCTGGTGATAAGGTTTGCTGGGGTGTCCATATGGACGTCAATTATTGCTGAGAGTTAGTGTTTTTATTGTCTGTAAATCTTTGTATATAAAAAGTATATGTTTGATGCTTCTTAATACATGTACAATAAATATAATTTTATATATGTATTTATAAATGATCTTTAAAGGCACCTATTCAGAGTGCTTAAACGGTCTCCTAAAGGGACTTTTGGTTACCTTTATATATACAGGTGAAACTCGAATAATTAGAATATCGTGCAAAAGTAATTGCAGGAAGTGCTGCAAAAGGGGCCCAAACCAGGTACTGAGTACATATGCATGAGGTCCGATATTGTTCTATGTACAATCCTTGCTTTATTTATTGCATGTAATAATCTACTTTTTTGAGGTTGTGGATTTGGGGTTCTTGGGGTTTTCATGAGCTGTAAGCCATAATCATCACAATTATGACAAATCACAGCTTGAATTATCTTGCTTTGCATGTAATGAGTCTATCTCATATATTAGTTTCACCTTTTAAGTTGCATTAGTGAAATAAATGAACTTTGCACGATATTCTAATTATTCGAGTTTCACCTGTAGATGTGCTCAAAAGCCAAGCCAGTTCGGAAAGGCAAAGCTTCAACACTTCTGAGTAGTGTCAGAGCTTGCCACACATTACCATGATGAATTACCCCGCAGCGGTCAGTTGGAATGAGTGTGAGCGCATGTTTTGCTTGATCAGTACAACCGAACAGTAAAAAAAAAAAGAAAAAAAAAGTGCACACACAAGCACACAAACTGCAGTGTCACTGGTCTAAATTGAATGTTTGTAGCTAGGCTGTAGCCTGAGCTTTGCTTATCTGGGTGCAATAGGTGTCTTCTAAGCTCAAGGACATGGTTTTCTTCTTTCCTCTACAGGGAAGTGTTTCCAAGTAGATTAAGTGAGAAGATACAATGTACTAGGATATGAATATTTATTCTCCACCAGCCAATCACAAAAGAGGTTTATGGCAGTCGTGTGCTGAGAAGATGATAAATATTTGGAGAGACTTTTCAGAAGGGCCATTGCCTTCGAGGTTCTGCCTGGTGAAAATGTGTGTTTGTCAGGGTCCAGTCTTTGCCTCCCAGGCCTATTACCTGGAGTGAATGTCAGTGTAAGGGAGCCTGAACATAGGCCCAAGGAACCTATGCAGCCTCTGTTAGGGCCTAAAGAACCAGGAAGGTGGCTGCTGGTTGGAGCATCTTCAGAGTATGCCATTCAGAATTATATAGCTTGGCGGAAGCTGCTGCCATGGCAATGAAATGAGACCTCACTCCTTGGCGCTTTAAGTTATCTTACTTTCTCATATGAGGCCTGAAGAACTTTCCTATTGGGAGGGTGCTACTGCAGGCTACCACCAAGGCTAGCACTACCAACAGAGGTACTTAAAGGATCCATTGTCCTAGCTAGGCTGCTACTGAAGAATCAAGGGACACCACTTCGTTGTCCTTAAAGGGATCCAAATTGTGACTGAAAATTTACCACTCAAACATTAGAACCATTAATCATCAGCTTTAAAAGTACAAGGAGGCTGCCATTAGAGCAGTGGTTCTCAACCTTTCTAGGGTCGGGACCCTTTGGTAACATTTGCCAAGACATTTGAGCCAATACATTTTGAAAAATAAGATTAAAGGGCTTGAAATTTGTCTGACTGTCACTACTGGAGCGTCGGCGAGTCTCTGGGTGCAACTACAGGAAGGTTACTAGAATCCAGCAGCTCCATCAGCCTTAACTTACCTTTCTGGAGATGGGGAAAGCTGCGAGTAGTCAGTATGTTGATGAAAACAGGTACATCTGTTCCTTTTCTATGTTCGCCAGCTTCAAAAAGAGCCTGGGAAAATGAATACATGTTATATGCACGATACCAAAACACTGTAAATAACACTGTGCATTAAACACCTTTACAACTCATCACTTTAGATGTAAAGTATGTAAACTAAAAGGCAAAATCTTTATTTACAGTTGAATAGAGTGATGAGGTGTTAGGAACAAAGACAAAAATAAAAACCTGACAGTCGTTCTATTAGGGAAATTTACTCTCTCATTATCCTAATCACCATCACTAGGAAACAGTGGCAGAACAATCGCCATAATGACCCAGGCGGCCACTATGGGGCTCGGCCAGGACATCCCCCTGATGACATGTGGGCCGTCTGGGTCGTAATGGCATCTCAAGCTTCTGTCTGTCACTGGCAGCTGTGAGGAGGAACACGCCGCTGTTCAGATCACTGAAACCTGTCAGTGATCTGTGTATTCCTCCTCACAGCCCCTGCTGAGTCAGTGACAGCCAGCAGCTATGGAGGAGGAGACTGAGCCCGATGTCAGCAACGAAAGGGGGCGACAGAGGAGGCAGGGCCCACCAGCGACCATGGAGGAGGAGGGGGTGGACGGCGGATCGGGGCTGACAGGTAAGAGGGTGTGACCAGCCCACCTGAGACCCTGCAGAGCCCACCATAGATAGTCTATGGTGGGCTCTGCAGGGTCACTCTCAGGTGGGCTGTTTGGGATATCAGGTGGGCGTAAATAGAAATCACATGGCCCCATACAAAATTTTGTTATGGAGCCCTGTGATTTCTAGTTACGCCCCTGCTAGGAAAGGGAAGGTAAATCCAAAATGTTGAGTTGCCCCCAGAACATGCATAGAGGGGAAATCTTCCAGTGGGGACACTTGTTCCTGTTACCTCACATTGGAAAGATTTACTTATTTCTTGTTAAGTCTACAGGACAGGAAGTAAGAGGGAATCTCCCTAATTATATATTTTTTTAAAACACCTTGACTCCCGTACGCTATCCAAAATGAAAAAAAGTATTGGTTTCAGATATATTTTCCCTCTAGAGGGCCCACAAAAAGCCATTTCGCAAGGCAGCTGATAGCTCTCATTTTTAATACGAACCGGATCTTTGCCAAGTTTTACTTAGAGAGATGCTGTCATGGATTGGGACTCACAGGTATGAACTGGAGTCAGGTATGTGGACCCTTTCCACTACACTGGCAGGGACACTCAGAGAAAAGGGTCCAAGCAGTGTAGGCTGACGACTCCCAGAGCTGGAGTACAAGCAGGGGAACAGAGCAAGCAGGGGAACAGAGCAGGGGAACTGAATGAGGTAGTGGAAGTCAGCTAAAGCTGCAAGTTCAAATACAAGGCAGGGTGCTGCAATGCTGAGTAGGCGGCATGGTATGCTGAGTAGGTGGCAGGGGTTCCCCAGGATGTGCAATCTAAGAGCCAGCCGGTATTTGCCAGAGCTCCTGATGGTGGAGATGGGCTTGGCTGCGTGCTGACCCCAGGTCATAATCCCTAGGTCCACCCAACTCACCTAACAGGTACAGGGTACAAATCAAAGGTTAGGGACAGGCTGAAGACTTCCAGGGGCAAAGTGAAGCACAGCGCAGACTGTAGACAGGGATTTCCAAGGACAAAAGGGAAGCACGGGGCAGCCTGTAGACAGGGATTTCCAAGGACAAAAGGGAAGCACAGGGCAGCCAGTAGACAGGGATTTCCAAAGACAAGCCAAAAGGTTCGGTACACGGGAAAACTTCCAGGAATTCAGGGTAAATCACAAATGGGGGACTCGGCAACTAGCTTAGGAAAGCATTGCTCGGGCAGCGTGCCGTTTGCTGCCCCGGGTTTAAAAAGAGAAAGGAAGAGGGAGGATCCACAGGATTGGCTACAAGCAGACTGCACTGGTTGGCCAAGAAGCTGCATAAGAAACAGCAGGAGAGGTCGGCTGATGCCTAAAGCTTGCAGCCAGGTGCAAGAGTGAGTCAGGTTCAGAGCACATGCCTGGAGGACTACAAGCACCAGCACAGCCCTACATGCCTGCAGAACCAGGGGTAAGAGGTATGTATATACTGGAAGGACTACAGGTAACAGCTCAACTGCAAGTCTGCAGCTGAACTGTGACAGATGCAACCCCAGATAATTTTCTGCTTAAATGACTAGACTCTGCTGAAACCCAGGACTTTGCCAATTACTTTAATTCTCATTCAATTTTTGTTTTGCTGTTGTATTTGCCTCTCTTTTATGCAACATCTTTTTCTCTATATTTTTTCTGTACCATTTCCTTATTAAAAATTATCCTTTAAAATCGTCAAGTTTATCTTTACGCTCTAAATAAGAAAGTGTCCTTGTTCCTGTGAAGAGTGCTACCCTAAAACTGGTTATATTACTGGCTGAAGAAACATTGGGCATCGCAGGTATTGCTTACGTTTTTGAATTGTCGAAGCATTTGCTGGGAACAATACGCGTTACTGTTAAAACAAGTGGTGGCAGTGATTATCTTGTATAAAGGGTTAACTGTGGAGATCTCCAAACCCTAGTGATGATCACTCTGTCTGCTGGCCTTAGATTGTTGTCCCACAAGCTGTAAACATCTCTGTGCAGGATGAGGCAGAGTGGAATTGTCACGTCTTGCTGACAACATGTTAGTAAAGAAACTGTGTATCATCATGTATTAGTGACTGTGGGATTGGACCTGCTGATACCATCTCAGCCCCCTCCACCAGCAAGTTTTCCCAAGTTGTCCACTTAACAATTTAAGATCTACAGTTATATTCACTGTGGAGCCACTGTAAGGAATCGGTGTGGCGTCCAGAGTATCGGCTGGCATGGCCATGCATGTGCAGTAGATTTCCTATTTATTCCTATGGAAAGCAGGCCCACATATAATATAGCTGTCAATCATGGACATGTAAGTGAGTGACTTGGAAGACCTGCTGGGGAAGGGACACCCTGTAGTTCCTTTAATCTTTATCCTGAGTATGTATTTTGCAAAGAATACCATCAAACTTAGATGTTTTTAACACAACAGTATAAGCCATTTAACATGAAGGTCATAAGCAATACTATGCAATGGTTTAATAGGAAGTGCTTAACTTGTAAAAATATTATTTCATAATATTTTTAGTTTTCATTTATCTATTTGTTCGCTTAGCCGAATTCACTGATTACTGTGCACGTATATTTTCGGAATAAAAATTATCTTGAAAAATCAAAATTTTAAGTTACATAATAGTACTACAATAGCTTCTAATCATAAACTGTATATATAGTACTGTGCTGTACTGTAGAACACTGTCTTACCCTGGCATCATTATCAACAAGTTCATCGTTCACACGGGGATCTTCCTTTCGTGTACACTACAAGATATTAAACAATGTTATTCCAATGAAAGCAATATATTACAAAGTCATATTTAAAAAAACATAAAATATGTATTCCCTATTCTCCAGGAATACCAGACCAAAATTCCAGTCCTGGAGGCTGTAGGCACACAGCCCGCCATTGCTACTTACTGTCCACAATCCAATGCCGCCTTTGCTTCTATTATGCATGACCGCATGCACTTCTAGGTTTTATCTAGAGTGTTGTGGCCATGTGCAGTTAGGGGGGCATCCACCCCGACAGGCTGCAGCCAATCAGAGTGGTGCATGTCCCCTGTCAGGTTGCAGCCAATTAGAACCCTACTCTTCTATCCCTGTCAGGCTGTGACCAATGTGTACGGCACCCTTCTTCCCCTGTCAGCTTGTGGCAAAAGAAAAGTGGTACCTTCTTACTGCTCTCCTTATTTAAACTTGATGCAGCTGATGGCTTGCTGCCTGAGCAACACTTCTGCAAGCTAACTGCCGAGCCCCTGGTGTGCCTTTTTCTATTCCATCCTGCGACTTTCTATTGATTCCTGTGTACTGAACTGTGGCTTTTCAGTCTCAACTGTTCCAGTACAATCCAGACCCAGCTCCAGGATCCTACTATGTCCAATGTAATCCAGAGTGGTTCCTTCACCATAAATCTTGCTTCCAGCACTAGGTGTTCCTTGGAGCTTGGTTCTACCAAAAACAGGATGTCAACCTAAACCTCTCAGATACGCCTACTGCCTTTCCATGACTGCCTTAGAGTAGCTGTAGATTCTACATTGGTGCTATCACATCTCGACACTTTGGCTCCCAAGGCAGAACTCACATGCCAGGTTTTTTTATTTACAGAATATTTTCTGGTTTTACTAACCTGGCCAAAAACATTATGCCAATGTGTAAATTAGTCTGCTAATATGGCTGTATTTCTAAAGGCAATAGGAATGTGACGTAAATAACTATGCAGGGAAAGGTTACTGCCTTGCCTCTGTTGCCTATATTCTCAATATTACAGTGCCTAAATGGTAAATTCAGCCGTAAATGATTGATTTTACATGGAAAAAGCATACACTGATATGGAGGAACATACCTCTAAAATTGCAAGCAGACCTTTTTGGAAATGACCAGATGTATCTGAAGTGATATCCTTTACCAAGTCATTCTTGTACTCTGTAGAATAAAACCACATAGTGTTCCATTTGATATGTTTGAGAACATTGGCTTACGCTAATTTAATAAATACAAGGACATGAGTTTAACTTGGCAGGAATACTACATCCCTAGATGTGCTTTAAATGCTGAATTAACCTGAGTTGTAGCATTTCTTGCTTCTGATAATGAGAAAGAAAGACCTAAATATTGTTCCCAGGCACCTATTCCAGGATCTGACCTGGGGGACATACACAACCCACTGGCCTTTTCATGGTAGAAACAATTTCCTATGGGCTAAGGGCTAAAAAAAAAAAAAAAGGGATTGTAAATGATTAATTTTGCACAAGGAAGTACTATAGGAGCTAAACAAAATTACCGCTTTGACAATGTTGTAGGCTCACCTAAATGTAATACTTAAAAACCTTAATGACATCATAATTATTACAGTTCAGCTTCCACAGTTTTTCATTCTTCCAGAATAGTTGTATTTAAAGGTTGCAATTAGTAAATTGGTCTGTACGGTTCAATGTTCTGACCCCGACATTTTAAATCAATTCTAATCTCTAAAATAAAACCAAGTTAAACAATAGTCATTGTATTATATTGGCTGCACTACATACACAGATCAACTAGAACCAACAAATCTGAACATAGCTGAAAATATGATGAAGCAAACAGATAGCAATATGAATATTAAACCGACAACTTTCAGAAGACACAAATAATGAATATTACGTGAGTATCCCTAGGATACTTACTTTCTTTGTAGGCAGCTTTTATATTCATGATCTCTAGGTTTGTTCTTGATGCCAAAATTTCAATAAGTGTATCCTCATCAGTTCCCAATCCCTTTCAAAAATACAAAATATGTACATTATGCCATGAATACTGCTTAAAATGTATTTGTAATGTCAGCAACCTGTGTGCAGTGTTTGTAATGGTTCTAGAACACAACAACTGCTTAAAATGAACAGATAAAATGTCTTTAACCACTTCAAGACCAGGTGTTTAGACCCCCTTCCTGGCCAGGCCATTTTTCAGTATTCAGCGCTGCGGAGAACTATAACAGGTAAACGATTGCATACTTTTATCTATTGATCCTACTGGATGTGTACAACTAAATTAGATATGGGTTATCATTATTTACTCTAACAAAGCCATGTATGAGTTACGCTTCATTTACATTACCTTGGTGGCATGTTTCAGCTCCTCTGCATCATATTCAGCTGGAGTTTTCAGCAGGGCCAAAACCACTTCCTCATAAGTAGCAGAAAGAGCTTTCTTTAGAGCTTCATCCAGAGGCTAGAAATACATTGCGCATAGTCAAAACCTGTTCAAGTTAATAATGTAAAGTATCACAAAACACCACATGACCTCAGCCTAAAAAGTCAGTGAAATTTCAAGTCAAAAGATTGGGGTTTGTGACAATAGGAGACTCAATGATTCTGCAAGTCAATACCGAATTATGAAGTAGGTTAGTAAAATGCTGAACAGCAGGCTTAGTTACCAAGTGCAAACTGACATTAATTTGTTAATCAGAACAGCAAATCCAGAATATTTTTATATAGCACAGCAAAATCTGATAACCAAGGCAAGTATATGTTGTATTCCACAAGGCTGACACATGCATTATGTTGGCAGTCTGAAGTGCTGCATTAGTTTTCAATGCTCAAAGCCCAAAACAGGATTGTAGGACAATGGGCTGTCTTTGCCAAAATCAAATATGAATGCCATTGTAAGCATCATCCCCCAGTTATTATTTTCCCAACTGTTAAAACCAGATATTGAAATATGTATGTGTGAACCTTAAATGATGATTGATTTTCTATATTTTAATCTATCCAAGTTTGGAGATTCAGTTTTTTACTGTACTGCTGATTTTGAGTTTACAATTGGTAATCAATCAGTAAGCCTGACAGGCAGACCTAAGTATAGTTGAAACAGTTGTTAGGAATGCTCAAGAAGACTTGGCCTTCAAAATGAGTTTGAAGAATAAACCACATTAATCAGGACATAGACTATGATGCCCAAAATGGGATAGAAGGAGAACGCATGACTCAGCTACTAAGAGTATGGCACTCCCTTATGCTAATCAGAAAGACTTTTAAGGTAAACATCACATTGTTTATTTTAAAGTAAAAGCATGGATAAAAGGATGAGGGATGATCCTTCAAGGGACACTCATTCACACATGCACACACACTCACACTCATTCCCTACAGATCCACACACACACGCACAGCATCACAAAGACACGCCCACACCCCCACACTCACATTGAATAGACAGACACCTGTTAGGATTATTTTTACTATACTAACTAAAGCCACGTTTCTTAAGCATCTTATAGATTTCTGCTGTAAGATATACTATATTTTGTAATCATCAAGCATCTTATAGACTCATTCTGTAAGATATACCATATCCTGTAATCATTTGCAACTTTTAAATTAAACACATTATGAACTTTATGCAACAACGGCAACAATCATCTATAATTGAACTTTTCCCATCCTATGCTTCGAGAAAAGGAATATGACATAAAAAAATCATATTTCGTGTCATTTTTCTTACACCAACACTTTGGGGCTGATGCATAAACATTCTACTCAGCATATAGCTGGGCAAATGCTGTTTGCATGGCATTCCTGCCACTAGATGGGGCTGAGGAGCACATACTATTCAGCTCAAACTAGTGACAGCATCTAGAGGCATTCATATGGCTACTCGCTTGGCAAAACATTTATACATCAGCCTCTCATTGTCGCCCAGGCTCTTGCATTGTTAAACACCGAACCCCAGGTCCATTGCTCAGCAAACTTTCACAGGATGGCTAGAATACAGCTTACCCATAGGAATGAATGGAGCTGTAGCACACATGCACACTAAGAAAAGGACCCGGTGGAGACATTTTTCAGAAGTGTTGTGTTACACCAGACAGGGCTGCACAGTGAAGAATCCTGGAGTGGGGAGGAGGGTAATTGTTTAACGGGGATGGGGCGATTTCACTAAAAGTAAACTTGTAATTTGAACCCGGTTTACTTTGAAAAAAAATACCTAAATTATTTGGTTGGTATTTACCTCACAACCAAAACTATCCAATCAATTAAACCAGAGAAATGGAGATTTTTTTGTCTAAATACATGCAAGCATAATACCACCTAATTTGCAGAGAATCATGCCGTTCATGAATCAGGATTGTCTGGTGTCCTAAATAAGGATGAGTGAATCTCCTTGAGAAATTCCAACTTTTCTCTAAACCTCACTGAAATCTATGAGGTGGGTAGGCCGAATTTTGATATTCAGCCAGTTATTTTTATGGGGCTAATAAACTAATCAAAAAAAGTCGCAAGCTGGATATTTTTAGGTAGTCTCATCAGCACAAGTGTCATTGAGGACAACCCACCCATATATAAAGGCTGGGGTTTGGGAAGGTTAAAAAAGTCCCTCCCCCCAAAGCCTGTCTACCTTCCTTCTCCCCTCCAAGCCCCTCGAACCTCCGCCGCCTGGGAAAACAAATCTATGTTAGAAATTCCCAATAAAAAAGTGCATAATATTAATCAAGAAGAAAGTCCATTAAAAAACGCCAAGTACAATTCACTCAGTGGAGCAATTTAAGGAAGAGTTCAAATCTTTTACAACAATGGCAGTAGACCATTCAACAGTTTATAAAGTGTCCAACACAGGGCCACCAATAGGGGGTACAGACAGCCCTCTCATATCAGGCCCGAATCACATCACTTCAGTGGAGGGGCCTAGTACGGTAGAAGATCTCATCTGCCTTTGGCTCTCTCCTCTCCCCAGGGTGTAGTGTAGTGTAGTGTGTCCCCTCAGTCTCCTGTATAACTTCTCCCCATACGAGCCAGCAGGCATTCTCTCAGCACTGGCCTCTCCCCAGGTGGGTGGAGATTGAGGTGGATGGGATCGTAGGTGCGGTTGCATCCTTCCCTTCTTGCACAGGCGACCTTTTTACTATGGCTGATCCTCCTCACAGAAAGCTGCTGAAGATGTTCCGGCAGGGAGGAGCAGCAAAGATGGCCAGAAAATCTTCCTCCTCCACCCATGCGCTAAGAAATTGACGGGTGGGAGAGGCTTCCCTCTGCAGGAATCTCCCCCATCTGGATCCCCTGCCTGCTACGCTCTGGATCCCCTGCCTGCTATGCTGTACACAAACAGCAGGGGAACTTCTATTGCACTATTACCTAGGCTGGGGACCGCTTAAAGCATTGTTTTATACTGCTCACTGCCCTGCCACAATGCACTGTTAACGGCCATGCACTGCCACCACACAATGCTCACTGCCCTGCCACTACATACTAACTGCCCTGCCACCACACATTGCCAACTGGACTGAACTGCCATCACATTAGGTGAGAAATGAGTACATATAAAACTCCTATTAGTTGTACTCCTCCAGGAGTTATATATAGGATTCCCCCATCAATTCTAACATGCTATCCATGGTGAGTGCACTACTGAATATCCGAACAGTGACTATCTGATTGGCTGCAGTCACCGTTTGGCCAAGAATGTTTGGACTCAGCAGGACATGGCTGAAATTGGAGCAGTATATGGTCAGCTCAAGTCATCTTCATGCTCGTGAGTTTTGTGGTGTTCAGCTAAAGAGAGAATGGGAAACAAAGCCTTCACATATATTGTTGTTGTATTTATTGTTTTTTGTACATTACCTTTCCAGTTAAACTCTGGTAAGAAGCCTTAATGGCCTGACGCTGCTGGTTACTTCTTTTGGCCAAAATATTGGTTATAGTTGCTTCGTCAACACCTTTAAAAAAAGAATAGAATATATTTTTGCATATGTACAGATTTGGAAGGCTGTAGCATTTTTTTGCTGCCCCACAAACTTATTTTACAAAGTTATTTCAATTTTGATACAATCGTGGATTCCACTCTAAACATCTCTTATACTATCACATAAAAAGACAGTTAAATCTTTCTGTCTCTGGCCTCTAGATGATTGTTAATTGAAAAGCATTTAAATGTGGGCAAACAGAACTGTTGTGGGATTACACAAGACATGTCACACAATGTGATTTTAAAATGTGTCACTATATACTCAGAAAATTATTTTACATGCCCAACACATAATAGGTTACTGTACTCCTCTCCAAGTCTCCCACTCCCCAGGAATTTAAAATCCTGAAAAGCAGCTGACAATTTGTAAGGGTGTACAAATTGGGACCGCCTAGCTTGAATATAGATATAGTAGATGCGTATATTACACTTTGCTGCACTGAACTGTTCGTAGTGAGCTCCTATGGGTTCATATTGGAATCATGTTCAGGGTCTGTTATCAACAGGATTTAAATTATAATTTGAGTTTTTTAAATCACAGGCTTCTGTAGCCTTAGGGTTTCATAGTGGCCATGCAAGTTAATAATTCAGTAGTTTGTAGACCACACTACTACTCTAACGGGGTCAATAGCTACATTTAAATAATGAAAGAAAATTGTACCAGAGCTAGTTCACACCAACCTTAATGCGTTCCAGCATGATTCTGGCCGGAACATGCTGGATCGCATTATGGCCGGCTCACTTTGTTTTGGGGCGGGAGGGGCACGTGACGGTGCATTGAACTCAATGGCACTGCAGCCATGCCCTCCGGCCGCAATTCGATCGCCCCCGCATGGGAACGCGTGGCACATCAGTGCCTGCATTTCGGTCCGGAGCAGTCAGAAAAATGCACCGCCATGCCTCCTCCCGCACCCAAAAAGCCGGCTGAAATGTGATCCAATGCACTCTGGCTAGGACGCACAGGCTGGTGTGAACAAGCCCTTCCAGAGAAATAGAAAATGAACACATGCGGAATATAACTGCAACTTGGTCCCAAGGTAAACATTTCCTGTGAAACCCTGTCCCCTACACCAGAACCACCAATACCTCTTCGATCCCGCCACAACTTGCAACACAAAGTAAATTTCATTTATTAAAGTATCTCATCTTTGAATTTGTGTATTTATGAGAAATAAATACCTATTTTCTATGCTCCTCGGTTTCCATCTGGTGACCATAATGTGGTATTTTTCAACAACTACATTTGTTCTTCATTTGATTTTGCCTTATTTGCATACAAATGTAAATGTCAGTTTCACAGAATTAATGCCTCTGCACACTTATTTTAAATACAACCCATAGAGTTTTTTTTATAAGAGGTGATCTGCAGAAAGGAAGAGCACTAGTTCGGTACTGCTATTTGGACAAAGATAATTCTCAGCGTGAGACTGCTAGCTTTTGGGTATTGATACTTTTCTAATAAAGCGTATCTAATGGACCAATAGTTCCAAGTGATACATTCTTGGACTAAGTTAGCCATAGTTAAAAGGATAATAATATTGGAGGCTCTGTTGCATGTTAGTTTTAGGCTCAGGAGTTAGGGGGGACGATGCATATAAGGGCTAGGTAAAGGGTTTAGGAGGTGGAATAGGGTTAAAATATATCTATTCTCAAACAAAAATGTAATATTTTGCAGTCTACCAGTCCTTGGATGAGGTGGCTGCATTTGTTCTCTTTCATGTTTTATTCCCTTTATTTTTACCTTGTGACCCGGAGAACAACTTACTGTTCTTGCATGGTCACATCACTCACTCCACTGCATCTATGGAAGGAGTCATGGTTCGCACATAGGCTAGACTTCAAACATTTCTTCCTTTGTTCCCTTTGTAATGCAGTTTAATGGGACTAGTATTTGCAAAAAAAACATAAGATTGTTTGAACTTTCTGCTAAGCCCACAGGTGGTGACAACAAGATCAGCAGGTTTTTTGTTGTTGTACTTGACGATAATGCGGTTTGGTTCTTAATTTTCAGCCCAACGGCACATTTAATGACTGGTAACCAGCAAAATATTACCCATTTGGTTCATAGGTTTAAGTTTTAGAATGACATTTACTGCTAAGGGTTATTTTCTACACTAGGTTGGGGTTTTATTTTAAGAATGAGGTTACATGTTAGGGTAGGTTAGGTAAAAAGTGTTACATTTTAGGCTAACTTTGGCTTACGTTTAAGTAGGTTGAATACTTATTTTAAGAGGTAGTTTAAGTGTTAAGGTTAAAGGGAGGGACACGTTAAGTATTAGAATAAGTGTTATGGATAGGTGATACATGGGGAGAGGCATGTGTTCTTATAAAATCACAGTTCTTTAAGCTAAATAAGCTAAAGTTCTGTGTCACCAAGTCCTGCACAAACTTCAGGTACTCATCACAACCAATCACATTTCAAATGAGAAAAAAAAATAAAAAAGGTTGTAGTTATTGCTGGAATACTGAAGCATATGTAAGTCTATTCTTAAGACTTCATTGTAATGGTTACGTAGGTGCTTAACACAGTAGCTTAAACTGTTGTAATCAAAGAGTAAACCGTACCTTTTGTTTTAATGGCCTTGTCTAAGGCAGCAGCATCTGCAGATCCATCATATGAAGGAGCAGATTGAAGACCGCCAGAAACATGTTGCTAAAAATAAAAAAAATAAAAAAACAGTACATGAGAAATAAAGTACAGCTTAAAATATGTTAGTGCACAAAAATGTACAAAAAAAATAAGAATTACCAGTTATTTATAAGAGTGGACCTCCATTATACTCCACTTTACTCTGCACAACTCACATTTTACAACCCATTCATAAAATGCAGGCTGTGGTGTGGAGCCAGAAGTAGTCCGTGATGCTCCTTGAGTGGATGAGAGCTGGCCATGTGACTAATAAGTTATTTGATTGGACTCTCCTGCCTGCTTTTTCCTCCTTATATTTATTCATCAGACTCATGAAACTATGCAGCCCAAAGCACATTTGTAAAGCATGCTGCTGTTCTTTTTAAATGTGCGTTTTTTTAAGCAGTGGTATTGTTGCCTTTTGTAAGGATGCAGATTTATTATGCACTCACAGCTTAAAATAAGACCTGTGCCCAGATCATGCACACTAAAGTATTACATATTAGGAACACGCAATCAAAGCACACTAAAGCAAGTCTGTATTTATCTCTGTATCTATAAGCATTGTTAATAAATGTGTTGTTTTTGAAGTTTGCATTACAGGCATTCAAATCTAACCCTCCCCTATCACTTTCTGTTGCACCAGAATCTTGGCAGTCGGCCAGCCAGCACTCTAACACAAGCAAACAGTGGTCGTTTCTAACTGGTCAGCAACTGACTGAAACTCATTGTTGGATGCATCCAAATTCACGAAATTGTGTCTGAATTTACATGTCTACTTCACATGCATTCAATGTATGTATGAAGTGAATAAATATTACAATGTAGAAAACCTGCCACCCACTGAAGACATTGTATGATGAAACGCATTAGGGGCGGGATTTGGTGACATCACGCTTTGTACCTCAAGGAGACGGGATTTGTGTCAGTTTGTTTGCCGGCCGCTGTATTTTTGAACAGAGGAATTACCTGGAGAACCTCTTGCTGGTTACCTATATGCTGGGACAGCTGTGTTGGACAGCTAGAAATTTCGGTGAGTGCATAGCCACTGGGGGATGTGTTGGAACACACGGAGAACACCTTTGTGTTTTTAAGACAATTTGACACAGAGATTTTTTCACTTCCGTTGGATAAAACTTTTTATGCATATCGTTTCACAGATAAACGTTTTATATACAGTATTTGTTTCACGCTTATGGATTGGACTTATTTTGTCTAATGGACTGTTCGGGCACTTAATCACTCACAATTGTTTTTTTTTGTGCTTTTGATCACTGGATACAATTGTTGCACTTTTATTGGATGTGTAGCTTTTGATCACTTTATACATTGTAATATTTATTGTCATTTATTCACTTCATGCACTTTTAATTAGAGGATGTGTAGCGCTATACCATTGTTTTGAAATTAGATTGGGGCTTATTAGCTTTCTGTGTGGCAGCTTCCAGAACCTTAGGTTCCTCTCCTTTGTGCTACTTATTCCATTAGCGCAGATTAACTCTTTGAAAATTCAATGTATGTACATTTGCTACATTTTACATGCATCTATATTAAAAGTATTCAGAATTAGATGTATCAATCAAAACAATGACAAAGACCTCTCCACATGCTTTAGCTGAACTTTAAGCAGCAGAGAGAAAAACCTATAGTACAGAAGTGTGAATGGCACCCAACATTTTTTGGAAGTTAGTCTGTTACTGCTAACTGGTCTCAATGTCTCTATTGGCAACATATGTACAACATGTGTGGGGAACTGTACTCCTGGTGGTCTTGTGGCATGCATGTTCAGTAAGAAGTGGACAAGAGGAAAAAAAAACCCGACACATTCATGTGAGTAGATAGTAAGATGGATATATAATTTGATAGATCAATATAAAGATTACCTCCCAATCCCTGACATAGCAGTGTCCAGTTCTCTGGAATAGGAGGAGGGGGTGCCAGCATCTGCCTGACCCACATCTAGTGTAAATGGGCCCTTAGTGTAAATGGGCCCCTTAGACTCAAGATTACCATTGTGCAGTTTGCACCTATGCAGGCTGGGTTTACTTGTGCCTGTTCAGAGTAAAGCATTTCTGGAAATTATTTTATCTTTAATCGTTGACACCTTTTTATATTTAGTTTTTTAGGTTATTAAAGGATAATTAAAGCCTCCGTTTCTTTTTTGTCTGCTAGCACGCAGTAGATCTATGCAAAAAGTGTAAAAAAAAAAAAAAAAAAAGCTTTAACAGAAGGTTAATACTCACCTGTGTCTTCTCTGCGCGCTCCCGTCTGAAAATGTGAAGATTCTCGGGTGGCCGCAAAGCACCTTGGGGCAGGCGCATGCGCAGTTCACATTTTCGGCCAGGAGGCGAAGGGAGACACAAGTTGAGTCTACGGGTGCATGTACCCGCATGCAGACACCATGGGACAGGAAGTGCCAGGTCAGGAGTTTGAACCCTCCTTATTAGGCTTATGTTGCCTTCTCCCGGAAGAACTAGGGACAAGAGGTTCTATGATGGAGTTTTTGTTGAACTCCGATATGCATCTCTTTTTCCAACCTATAACTAAAAGCTCAGAACAGTTTTTTTTTTTTTTTTAAAGGTCACTGTATTTTTTTTTTCCACTGAAATAAAATGTATGTGCCAGGAAGAATGTTCTTTTTGATAGTGTGCATTTTATACTACTACGTAATTGCTATTATGTAAATTCATATTTGGTCATTTCAGTAACATTAAATACATACTGTGGCTTGCTCAGAATGGCCCTCCAAAAATGTAGCTTGACGCAGGAACTCGCTAATGAAAGACATCGTAACTTCAGCGTCTGTAGAAACAAAAAAAGTAATGCACTTTTATACTGGACAAAATGATAGATTCTCTTTAATATGATGTTTAGAGAGAAGCATGAGGTAAATAGCTAAACAATCAGTTGAGATACATACCGAGGAGCGGTTTTAGCTGCCAAATATCTATTCAGCAACTTCTCTACCACACTACATAATCAGGAAGATGGCTTCTCTATGTCTTCCTCCATCATTACAGCTTCTTGCGTCACTTGTGCTCATTACACAGACAGAGATGAAGAAGTTAATTTACTAAAAGCAAATAGGCTTTGCAAAGTAAATTGCACTATGCAGGGGAAGTTTTCCATTGGCTTAGTAAATGTGGTAAAGGTAAACTTTGCAAAGAAAACACACACCACTCAACTATTTGTGCCTGCCTTTAACTGGATGACGAAAGTTAGCAGAGCTTCACCTCAATCACTAAACTAAGGGAAAACTTCCCCTTCAGAGTGCAATTCCCTGCAAAGTGAACAGCCTATTTACCTTTAGTAAAACAACCGTGAAGACTGATTTATCATTTAGTGAGCAGACTGGAGGTGAAAAGGTGACATAGAAAGCTGGACAACTAAACCAGGAACTGACTGAGCAGGACAATACTAAAGTTTTTTTTTTTAAAGTTCTCAATACATTAATTTTGAATGTGTACTTAGCTGTTAACCTGAGGTCCTTCTATATTTGTGGCATCCCTAGTTGCAAACCAAGTTTCGTTTCGTTCGTTCGTTTTTTTCATCTTCTGCAGACTGTTAAAAAATGTTTTTCTTCTTTCTAATGTCACTTTGCTGCAACAAAATTTCGTCCAGTAAACAAAATTTCGACAGGACTACCGCTAACGAATTACTGGAAATCGGGAATTCTGATTCGTTTGCATTCGTTTTAGCTGTAATTCGGAAACATCCAAATTTCCGAAATTTTGTCGGAATTTCGTTTTGGAACGAAACGAATTGCACATGCCTACTAAACACTATACAATGCCTTTAAATTGATGAGTTACAAAGGGGTAAAGGTTTATGCCAACTAAGCGAAATTAAAAAAAAAAAAAAAAACAGACACACCTTTAGTTTAAGAATTCTAAATGAAAAGTATAAAATCTACCTTCCCGACATGCCATGTATGAAAACAGCAGGTCTGTGCAAGTGGGATTTATGCCTAAAGAACTTGTAGGTACACAGCCTATGGTGCTTTAATGTAATGTTGTAAAACCTGGCAAGTCAAACCGAGCAAATAAGACCGTATAAGCAAAATTACACGTCAAAACAATCCATAGGTTTAGCGATAAAGATACCTGCATGTATATTCTATCCTTTGCTTTTTTTCCTAAAAGTGGAGTTTGGACTTATCCATCCTGACTTCTGAGACACCTTATTTGCCAGTGGGTTTCCCTATCACATTAAGGGACCAACAAGTTGGCTCAGGAATTAGGTAGGCATAGTCTTTAACTTTTATAGGAAAATAATTGAAATTTGCATGTACTCTCAACTGCTTGCGTCCCTGGATAAATGGCTTATTTTGACATGCAATCCTCCTGTTTGTTCTTATCCATAAACCAACAACAACGTGATGATAATTAAAGTTGTATTGCACCTGTAAAAGCACAGAGCTACATACAAATCTGGACATTCACAACAACAACAAAAAAGCAAGTTAGGTACGGTAACTTCTTTTCCAGGAATCTTCCAGGGCAGCACCTGAGAGAGGATCCATCCACCTAAAACAGGAAACACATCATCCACAATTAAAATAAAAGGGGCGGTACAGCCCCGCCACCTCAGTATTACAAAATAACCGTAGGCAGAAGGACCACCAGATAGGACCAACAGGCAGGGCGGGAATCTCTGCTGCCCTGGAAGATTGCTGGAAAAGAAGTTACCAGGTACCTAACTTGCTTTTTCCCCAAGTCATCTTCCAGGGCAGCACCTGAGAGATTAGGCAAGAAATCATACTTTTTTGGGGGGGGGCGGGACAACTTCCAAGCACCTCCTCCCTGGCAAAAGATTGGCATTAGTAGTAGAGGAGGACCACTCTGCAGTGCAATACCAGAGGTTGGCACTCGACCAAGCGGCTTTCCTCCAGATATGTTTTGGGGAAACGTCAGCTCTCCCAGGTCTAAGAAGACTAACATCCTATTGGAGCATGCCAGAAATCCTTTGGAGGTTGAAAGGTCAATGGATAGCCAAAGTCACCAGGCATTGGTGTTATCCTGCTTTGCAGTCTTCATAAGTCCCTGAACAGGTCAAAATATTCTTGGATTTCCTCCAAGGGTGACTGACCTCTAAGTAGCATCTGGCAACTTCTGTAGCCTGGATGAGGGAGCTTGTTACTACTCAATGGAGGAGTTAGAATAAAAAAAATGCGTTAACTGTGTTAAACTGTCACCAGTTTATCGATGTGGTGTAACAGACACCACCAATTACGTAAGAACACTATCTGATATGTTCAGTTTATCGATGTGGTGTAACATAGACACCACCAAATTACAAAAGGACACTATATGATATGCTTGGAGCACGAGCAGCAGGCAGCTGCTGTAAATGCATCACAAAGTTTACTGTTCAAATATGGATGCCCGATATAAAGGGAAGACATGTAAGAATAACCTTGTGAGGCCCAGGAACCTCAGAAGAAGAAAAGAAAAAAAGTGCTTAAGCCATGTAAGGGGTTGAAGGTTGACAAAATATAGGCTGCATGGAGTCCATAGAATGCCCAAGCCATCACCTACCCGAACCTACTAGTAGTTTGCAGGAGGCAAGTAAGGTGTTGACATGGTACAACCCTTAAACGACTTGTCATGCGCTTGGTGCTCGTTTAACCAGCCACCCCAAGTAGTTTGCCTGTAACTGTGTTGTTGCAGCCCCAGACGTTTAATCCGTTAGGGTTGCACTGAACTAAGTACTGTAAAGTTATACAATTGCCTAAAGTATGAACTTAGGGATATTTCAATACTAAGATAACGAACTACATCATAAACCAGTGATATTAAAGAGTAAAACTGGTCGTTCTGTAGATAGTATAGTTACACAGTCCACAGAGAATGAACTGTGATGAAATGTAGATGCTGAGAGTCACACTACATCATAACCAACAATGCTTTCAACCAAGTGGTAATCAGCTATCCTGTACCTTTATGGCTATATAAATACACAAGGTATGAAATCAGATAACAGTTACTGAGGTTCATAAATACGTGACAACCAATAATACTTTTACCAAGATGGGATCAGTTTGTAGATGGTGAGTTACACAAACCAACCAAGAAACAAACCCATTACCGATTCCTGGCTTCATAATTTCCAATGATGCATCACTAAAAATGGTAAATCATCCCGTCCTGTACAAGTACTCTCACAGAAGCTGTAAATTGGTTATGCCAGGGACAGTATATTAATACCTACTCATGAGGTATGTACAAAATACTGAGATCCATAACTGAATCCTGAACCAAAGACGCTTTCACTAAGGCAGTTGTTTGGTTATTTCGGAGAGCGTATAATAATACCAGCACACAAGGTATACACAAATACAGAGATTCACAGCTACTTCATGAACCATGATGGTTTCACTAAATCAAATATTTGGTTATTCAGAGACAGTATAGCAATACCAATATATAAGGTATGCGCATACACTGAGATTCATAACCATCTCATGAACCAATAAGGTTTACACAAAAGCAGTGAGTTGGCTCTCTTTGAGGCAGCATAGTAATACCAAGTCATTAGGTATGCCCAACACTGAGATTTATAACTACCTCATGAGCCAAAGAAGCTACCACTTAAAATAAATCGGTTTGTCTCAGAGACAGTATAGCAATACCAACACATAAGGTATGCAATACTGCGAGTCTCAACTATCTCCTGAACCAATATCCTTTTACTAAAGCAGTAATTGGTTCATTTCAGACACAGAAAGGTAATACCAACATAAGGTATACACATACCGAGGGTCCTAACCATCTCCTGAACCAATATTCTTTCACTAAAGCAAATAAATTGGTCCTCAGCGACAGTACGGTAATAGCAATTAACAAGGTATGCGCAACCACTGTGATTCACAACTACCCCATGTACCCATGATGCTCTCACTAACAGCAGTAAATGGGTCATCATAGACGACAGCATAATAACACTGACACATAAAGGAATGCCCAACTGCGATTCATTAACCATTTAATGAACCAATGGTGCTTTCAGTAATGCACTAAAGTGTTTATTCCAGCGGCAGTATAGTGATATCAACACATAAGGCATGCACATACCGAGAGTCTCAACTATCTCCTGAACCATATTATTTTACGAAAGCAGTAATTGGTTCATTTCAGGGACAGTATGGTAATACCAAACATAAGGGATGCACATACTGAGGGTCCTGACTGTCTCCTGAACCAAAATAATTTTACTAAAGCAAATAAATTGGTTATCTCAGCGACCATATAGTAATACCAATAAACAAGGTATGCGCAACCACTGAGATTCATAACTACCTCATGTACCTGTGATGCTTTCACTAAAAGCAGTAAATGGGTCATCATAGAGACCGCATAGTAGCACCAAACATAAGGTATGCCCAACTGAGATTAATTAACCACTTCATGAACAAATGGTGCTTGTACGAAAGCAATAAAGTGTTTACTCCAGCAACAGTATAGTGATACCAACATATAAGGTATGCGCAAACACTAAGTTCCATAACTACCTCATGAACCAAAAGATGCTTTCACTAAAGCAATAAATTGGTTGTTTTGAAAACGATACAATAATACCAATGCATAAAAAGGTATGCACAATACTGACGCTCATAACCATAAAAAAAACCCCTGTTATGTCTTTCCTTAAAGAGGTAAATGGGGGGGGGGGCGTGGCTACCAGGGGATGTGAGAAGACGTGTCTTCCCGGAGCTCCGTCTAAGACCGCTAAATAACAGAGATTAGCAGCCCTTTCTCAATTCCAACATGCGGGAGAAGAAGACTAAGAAGTCTGCTAA